CATTTATGTATATATACATGTAGGGGACCAACACAGCATAAGAATCTTGAAATGGCTGTCTCTGCCTTATTAGCTGTCCTTAACTAGCCTCACATTAGCGATTCCATCCCCCCTTTTAGGATCCGTATCACGAGTTGCGATACTTCCTGTCGTTTTATCCTTTCTACCTTTTAGTCTTTCAAAGATTGCGCTGGATCTGGCAACATCTTATCAGTCACTGCCCTATTTCCAACATATTCTTGAACTCCTGCTCCATGAAGTACTAGAGGAGGAAGCTACCTCAAAGTTCCCCATCCCGGGTTCGTTTATCTTGCTCAGACTATTGCTTTGTTGTAAGATTACACATATAGTCAATTGCCCATCTTATGAAATCTCCTGAACTTAACACGATAACTCCTGTTGCGCAAAAATCTGCCCACGCTTCGCCCCCCAGTTTTGCAACGGCAAAGGAACAATTGGTTTTTTTTAAAAAAAGGCATATTGCAGTTAGAAATAAATATTGCTTTGTTTGGAAGTACCGACTTTTTTAGAAAAGCGGAAAATTCCGGAAGTTTGAGAAATCAGAGTAACTAAGTTACATTAAATTTTAAGTGTTGATAAATCCTGTCCATGCCAGAAAACACGTGAATAAAGCAGCATAAGTAGAACTACGTTTGAAATTTTAAATGGAATTGTCGGATGTAATTGTAAACACACCCTTTTGTGTACATTGAAACAAAAATTTCCTTTTTTTCAAATTTATTTGTAATTATTTAAATTGTTTGATTACGACGTATCTCAGATTGGCCTTAAAATACTGGTGAACACTGCGAGTTTGTGTTTTCAGTCGACAAATGGGAATTCTGTTCTGTTTATCGAAACCTTCAAAATAAGATATGTCTTAATAACATTTACCGAAATAGTGAGTTTTGGCTGTTTGGGTCACGTTTGTAATCGTACTCATACATGTCAACTCATTACCGAGAAAAATGAACGTCCACAACAAGGTCCTCATGTGATCCTTAGGTCATTGATAAAAGCCGCGATGGTCTCTTCCTGAAATCTTTCAAACACTCTCAGCAGCAGGCCATCCCATCTCGCATATACTCCCCCCCTCCGCCCACGAGCGACAGTTTTTCTCCTTAAAATCCCTCAAATGGCATTCAAACCCCTAGAATGTCCGAACAATGCCTGAGGAGTTTTTTCCACTGTTTGCTCTTTTTACTCAGTTCCGTTAAACGGCATTGCCACTGCTTTGAAATATTCTGCTGAACCAATGCATTTCATAGCTGCTCTGTAACAATAGTGAGTTCGAAGACATTTACCTATATTTCGCGTAATAAACCTGACCTGGGATCAATTATAAGACGTTCTATTAAAGAGGCCGAGTATCTACGCACCTTACCTTCTCCGAACGTTAAGTCGGCCTAAATATTGGAAAGTTTAACCGGTTTTTGAATTAGCTGAAAGCTAGGAATAAACATCCTTCTAAACATGAAAGAACCCAGTTTAGTGTATACTGGGGCAGTTTTGGGCTTATTTGTTTACTTCTATGCTCGTAAATGCACAAAAGAGTGGCAGAATATATACTACGATTGAACAAAAACTGATAATATTATGCCCGTTCCGCTTTACTTTTTTAAATGAGTTGATTTTCTTCTATAGGTGGAAAATGTTTGGAGATGATTCTAATCATTCGAACTGAGCGTTTAAACTCAGATTGGAACGCGTTTATCAAAGCGAAAGCCCCATCAGCCCCTGGTATCACGCCCAGGCCATTGGCTTGCTAGTTTCCCTTTAAATACTCACGCAATTGCTTTCCTAGTCGAAACTGACAACCAAATTAACGCGCTTGTCCGCGAACATGGCTCCACTTAGTGTGTCTTCTTTCCATATGCTTTGCTAATGTTGGTGGAGCCTACGACGGCGCTCTCTTAAGTACTTGTCGATTTCATCTACGTCTATCTTACTGTTTTCCTAGACTGCGTTTGCTCCATTATCAGTTTCGATTTATCCACTCCATACAGACCCTCTACTGCCTCAGGTGTGTGCCTTCATAGAACAGTTCCAGCATTTCCTTGACGTGATTATCCAATGTATCCGGAAGACTGAGGTCACCTGGTGGCGACACCTTTTTTGTGCCCTTGGACGTCGACCGAAAGACCTCTTTGAGGAAGCGCTTTCCACGGACCAGCTGAGCACCGCAGCCTCCTGCCTGGTGGTCTTACAGAACTCTGAGTCTTTGGTAGTCAGCAAACAGGTATTTGGTAGTCCTGTTCTCTGGCTTTTGTTGTCCCAGTAAACCTCTAAGGACAGTTCTGCAATTTAATTCAAAGGTCACGTAGATAAACGGAAATAACATGACGCAGGACTGGGA